GTAAACCTGACTATATGTCAAATTAAGTGCTTTACACATTCTATAGTAAACCCTGTCATAGCTGACGAGAGGTTTCCCCCTTTGTTTCTCCAGTATGAAATACTGGTATACATTTTTAATTAATTGTTCTGCAGAGTTATCAAGTCTCATGTTGCCATTTCGATGCTCATACACAAAGTGGAACTTCTAGGGGTCAACAAGATTATCTACGCGATTTTAATCTACTGTTTTTACGTAATTATTTTGAATATAACTACTACAAGAGTTCCATCTTTTTCACATATAGAGGTTAAAAAAAACGCAAACTTTTTCCAGTCATTTATGTAATTTAGTTAGTTGAGGCTATATGAATAATTATTGTCTGTATTCAAACTACAGTTTGTACTTAAAATATATTACGAATGTTGTTAAAACGTCAAAATTTCCTCCTGTGAAGTGACCCCTAGTGTGCATTTTTTCATCTGAGCTTTAATATCCAACTAGGTAGAGTCGTACATGTATCATGTGCTTTTATTTTGTGTCAAATTCATCATATTGATATTGAAGCCAAAAAGCATTTTCCAAGCATTTCCGGCATTACTTTAGTGCAAATAGTGTTCACCCTTCTGGTGACTTCATGAGAAGACACTGTTGGGCAGGTGGGTTCCCTGGTCACAGTTCATGGCTGGCTGGTGTCCCCTAATGTCTATGGCTTTTTGCAGTTTTCTTTGTCGCCAGTTGTTGTTGGTTGACAGGACTTTGGTGGCTTCCCACATGATGTGATGATCCTGGTTGTTGAGGATGTGTTCAGAGATGGCGGATTTCAGGTCTAGCTTGTCAACAGAGGATATGTGTTCTTTGAGTCTAGTGTTGAGAGGTCTGAGGGTTTCTCTGATGTATTGGTGGCCACAGTTGCAGGGCATGTGTGCCTCCTGAGGTTGTCTGAGGATGTTTCTAATCAAGTGGGCCTTAGGTAATGATAATGATTACTCTTCTGGAATAGTAACAGTACAAGTGTTACTATTATTTGATACCCTGAAATCTTCCCATTGAAGGTAAAGTTTTGGTTTAAGGACACCTTTGACTCTTACATGTTTATGAAAGTTGGGGCCCTAATGTTCCAGTGAGATGGACATAATGACAGTGATGGTATTGGAACAATAGTACAAAGAGAACGAGTGGTTAGCTCTGGGTCTAAAATGGTAGGCTGAGACTTCCCTCTACATAGCATGTATAATGATATTGCTAACAGAATTATAAGAATGGCAGCTATGCCTATGGGTAGATTTTCATAAAATGCAACTACAGATGATTGGATATCAATGGTTGGAACTGTAGAACTAAAATGATTTTCAAGAGAAGAAAGATGCCTTTGTTACAACAGAGACCATATAATAGAGGGACGGCCCTCAAGCCAATGGGCAAAACCATCAGCGCTATGGCTTGTACTGCGCAGCCTATCCGGAAGCTGGCTAAAACGTGTGTTCACTTCAGTCATCAATTTCATGTATTTTCATTGCAAAGGTAACATTTAATATTTTTCCATTTATTCTCATGTATATACTTATATTTGCAACAGTGCCCTTGAGGTTTATTAGTGGTGCTAAAGCATATATTTGTCTTTGTATTTGATGAATATTGTCATGTGTTCTCATTGTTCTGTGAGAACAATGGCGGAGGTGTAAAATCGGCGAAAGTCCCAATTTTGATTTTCATTAATGGTAACTAATTCTCAATACAAATCCTTAGTTATCGGGGTGTAATAAAAGCAGATAAGATAAAGAATGGTTTAATGGCATATATAAGTCTGAGGCAGTCGCGTAATTCCTTATTTTGACTCCTCCAATGCGATGAAATATGTTTTCTGAAATATTTACTCCACAACACTTGATTTTCACACACTTTCACAAGAATAGTTTACTACTAGCATTTTTGAAATAAATATGTCAACATTCACGGCGTTTTCCTCTTTTCCTTGGTACCAAATTTATATGGCTAGGATCTGGATTTTATTGTTTATGAATTTTGGCTTAAACCCGTATTTGCATTGTATATTGAACATTTCAATTACCACGTAGCAGACGACATAACATTGATTTTGTTTGCTAATATGACCTGAATATATATTTAAATCATTCTAAAAAAGTCTCAATCACCTATTCGGTTGAAAAAACTGTACATATTTCCATTATTGTTCATTGTGATGATTATGTTTCTAGAAAAGGTCCTTATTTATCATGACTACAATTAATATATTGTTCTGTTATCATTATTCTTCCTAATGACGTATAATTATGAGTTATGTTATGAGGCCAATCTTCAGAGATACAGATCATTATAGCATATTTTTTTCACTTGTTGCTGATGAATTATTCTAAGCCAGATTTTCATGGGCATGCAAAATGTATACATATAAGTTATAGTTATAATTAATCACAGAGAGTAAATAGTCCATCAATGTGTTGGAGACTGTAATGACTGTTACTATTCTCACATTGATGAGGGGCGGTGGGGGTGGCCTATTGGTTAAAGCGTTCGCTCGTCACGGCGCAGACCTGGGTTCGATTCCCCACATGGGTACAATGTGTGAAGCCCATTTCTGATGTCCCCGCCGTGATAGTGCTGGAATATTGCTAAAAGCGGCGTTAAGCCATACTCACTCACTCACTCACATTGATGATTACAGTAAATTAGGTCTTGATTTCAAGATTTTCCTGAGTGACTGGCCTTCATTAGTTTTTCTCTCACTTTTTTTCTCTTTCTGCTGTTGGTGCTTGACGAACTTGGCCACAGCCCCACCACGCACGTTAAGGAACAAAGTGACTAGAAATTCTAAAAGTTTTAATTTTAGTTTTCCTTCCGAACATAATTAACTTGTCCCTGTAGAAGATGACCATGGGGTTCGTCAGAATAGTTTCTTTCAATTTGTCACATTGAAGTGAGTAGGAACTAAGGTAGGACAGATCCACTGGACTCCTGACTGCTGTTTCAATTTGATCGCACAAGGAGAAAGCAATAATTACTAGGAAGTGTAAGACCACCTCTGTTGATTGTTTTCTGTCCATCTGGGAAATGTCCGAATGTAGCTTTCTTTGGCCTCTTGTATGAAGGTTATCGATGACAGCCTCAGTGTGTTGGCCACTTATTGTCTTCATTTTTAGCAGAGCATGGACAATATATCCAGAAATGTAAAATAGCACAGCTTGGTCATTTCCACTGATATGGTTAGCTTGCTTCTCATCAGCTGTCTTCATGGATTCCGAAAGAAAGTGAAAGAGCGTTTGAATGATGTGGTCTAGCAAACACTGGGTGAAGATGTGAATAAGTCTGATGTGATGGCTGCTGACTTCTTCTATACAGGTGTGTATGCTTGAAATACAATCTTCCTGTATGCACATCTGATGATACCTGCTCCAAATTACCTCTCGGTCGCTTTTGATAATGAGCTCCCATGGCCAAACTTCTTGAACACATGGTGTAACTTTGGTGTCACAATAACTATAAAATCATTTGACATCAAAATCTCCACAGAGGGATTTTGCAATTTGGATCAGATCTTCACCAACTATTGAACCTAACAGAGATGCATCCATCATAGGGTTGCAAATGATCAATTTCAGTGCCTTTGGTACTCCCATCCTTGAAGGCGTCCATCATTTGAGCTTCACTTGCAAGAGGCAAGACTTTTGAAGATTGTTTTTCATCAGGTTTGAAACTGTGTGGCTTGGTGGTTGTGCTCTTTTGTCTGTGCTCATAAGCTGAAATCAGAAGGCAGATAGCTAAATCTAATAACTGAACAATAATTTACATTCCATGAGAAGAAATTATGGAAATTAAAATCCAATGTACAATTCACTCAATGGATATTTAGAATATCTGTTGAAATAACTTTGTTAACTAACTTAAGATTGTGGACAGATTTGTATGATTTTCATTCACAATCAATTCTAAATGGACAACATAACTATGCAGTTTGTGTTGCACAAGTTTATAAGTTATCATGTTTAAATATTTTATTACCTTAGTATATTCTTTGGTCTGAGTCGCAATTTCAAATTCAGTTTATAGTATCATTACAACAGTTGACATTCATAAATTACATGAGATGAAATTATGGAAATTAAAATCAAATGTATAATTCACTTCACGGATATTTAAAATATCAGTTTACGAAGTTATTTTGAAGATTGTGTACATATTTGTATGATTGTATGTTATTCAGTCACAATCTAAATCCTAAATGGACAACAAAACTATACAGTTTGTTTTGCACCAAGTTTATAAGTTATCATGTTTTAATATTTTAATGAATTAGTATATTCTTTAGTCTTAATCTCAATTTCAAATTCAGTATAGAGTTTATTTACAACAGTTAACATTCATATTTACTGTGTTTTAATGAAAAAATATCTAAATGGTTGAATTTAGTAATACATAGAGATCTATGGTCCTATTCTATAATAAATAATGTACATATCAGAATTTGTGATGTTGTGTTTTAATGTTATTGGTTGCAGTTTCCTGCCAAGTTAAAGTTGACACTGTGACTGTTTGATGCAGTTCATTTTACCTGGCAACGCTCATCATTTGCATGCTGAAATTTTAAAATTGATTGGGTAATGCAGAGATGCCAACCCTTACGCTTTGGGCATAATTATTACGATTTTGACCATTAAATTACACCATTACACTTAATCTGCGAAAATTATGCTATTCTACTCGTTTTGCGAAAATCAATAAAGTGGATAAAATTTCACAGGGGAATCTTTTCATAGCGCACTGGTGCTGGGGTTCAGAAATGGCCTTACACCGATAGGAATCGCTTACTCTTAGCATTGCGCTCATTCCAATTAACTTGTAAGGAATTTAAGTATTTGTGTCGCCTGACCAACAATTTTCGATGTATGGAAGTTCATAATGATTGGTCATGTGTATTTCTGTCTAGAATCTTTCCTATTCATGTGAATAAACCTTTTTAAAAGTATTTTCTTAAGTTATCACCTTTCACTAAGTGTTTAAGTATTACGCTTTTTAGGTCCAAGTTACACTTTTTCACCTCCAGTATTACATTTAGGCCCAAAATAGGGTCGGCATCTCTCTGGTAATGTAGTACAGCCCATAACATGAATATTTCATGGGCTCAGAGAAAAATGACGTTTTTGAAAATTGTCAGTCGTCATCAGGGCTTTACTATATCAGAGTAGCTTCCCTTTGAAAAAACCCCAAATGTCTCCGTACGTCTTAAAGCATGATCTCTGTGACTGTGTGACTTTGCGTGTAAAAACATGAAGCGTTGTAAAATGTAAAAAGACAGACAACAGTGTTATGGCAAGAGAGATAATGTAATTTATGAACAGCAACAATAGGTAACAACAGATAACAGCACGTTTCACAAACTGATTCACTCAGTAACCATGGGTCCATTCAACTTGGACACCTCCCTCAGCAGCTGGGACACGGTGAGATTTGCGGCCTGGAAGTCGTCCCATAACCTGAAGAACTTGTTGGACTTAGCCCGCTGGGAAACATGTTGTCTTCTGTCCAGCTGTCTGTCTGTCACCAGACGAATCTGTAATGGTAGAAGGTCAGCTTCTTTAAAGAGGAGGGAGAACAACCTGTAGAAGGGTAAGTGACGTCATCCGGACAGCTGATTAAGGCGTTTGTGCCAACTTTCAAGGTCGTTGTTCGTATGGATGGCCATCCCGAAAACACTTCAATTCGCCACAGTCCACACGCTGCTTTGGATCCAGGTTGCTTCGAAATAGTCGCAGAGGATGACCAGATCTGCAGTCACAGCCTGCTGTTTCACCTTAATGAAGGCTGGCCTGATATGAGCTGCGTCAAGGAATTGTAAACCCATCAGCTTCTTGACGATTCTAGAATACAAATTATAAAGAATGTGATGTATAATCATTATACTAATAAATGCTAATACTTTTTTTAACAATATCATCTGAAAGAGTGTAAACAGAAGGAAAAAAATCGTTTACCTGTGTGTACCCACCTCCTCTTCATAAGCCGTAGCCAGACCCAAGTTCTGCACCTTCCTATAAATCGCCTGATTCATGTGGAAGGTGCAGCCTTTGATCTGGACGGCTGGAAAGACTCGCTGAAAACCTCTCCAGATCGCAGCTTCAAAGTCTGTCACCATTTTTTTCCACAGCTTTGTTGTCAATGAGGTCGTTGACCACGTTGAAGACCTGTTAAATAGATAATTAGATCATTAATTGATGACAATGAACAAACTCTACAGCAAGTACAGTAATTAGATTAGCTATTACATAACAATTTGTTAATTACTTACGGCCACCTAGTCTTCTGTCTGTCGCCGCGACATCAATGTGAACAAAAGGGGAACTTGCTTCATAGACGACCTGGAGACAAGGAACGTATGGACGGACAGCAGCTGATAAAAAGCGGATTTCCACGTCTACGAACCAGTCTGGCCTACGAATTCACCTACGGACGTTAAAACTGCCTTACCTGGCTGGGTTAGTTTGAATTTTATATTTTTCTTGTTTCATATTCTGTGTAATATTCGGATAAATCTTTCGGTGGCAGCCGTTTTGTAGTTTGGAAATTTGTTTATAATATTAGTAATCCAATTACAACTGTGACATAAAACAAGATATATTTTCTAATACAAATTAATAAATATATACTATACCTTTGATATCTGATAGGCTATGTTTTTTCTTCATATGCCCTCGGAAACCTACAATAGTTTTGTATGTTTTGTTACACTCGGGACACTCGTAGTAATATTGCTAAAAAAGCGACGTAAAACTCACTCACTCACTCACTCACTCACTAAGACATGTTTTTGTCCTTGAGGGAACCACGAAGAGATCTTGACTTCTTCCTTGGTGCTCTCTCAGTAATAGCTTTCAAAGCTCTACTCGCCCCTCTCTCCAGTTTTCTCGCCATCGCATGTGATCATACTTCAGGAACCTTTGGACGATCTCTTCCAAGAGTTGACTACTGTTGTCTCCAACAAGAGAGTTCCAATATTCACCAAAACATTAGTTAGGATGGCCTCTCTTAAGGACTGGTTTTCCATTTTGCCAGTTTAAACCACTGGTAGAACCTTCCTAGCTTCTGTCTGAAATAGTCTAACAATGAGGAAGAAAGAGTCACAGGGATTTTGGAGACCGACTCTGTCAATTCTATTTGACCACTTCTTCACATCGGCGAGAAAGTTTTCCTTCTTGGAATCTGAACTCTCTACTAACTTGCTCATTGCTGTCTCTTCTCCTTGTGTTTTTTTGCACTTTTCTTGACAGAATAGCTAAAAATTCCTGCAATCAAATGTAGTATACTCTGATCTTGTTTGCTCAGTTCGGAATTCTGCTTTTGTTGGTCTTCCTCACATCTCTGCAAAAGTAGGCTTATCATAGCACTGACAACACCATCAATGAAAACAGGAACAAAAGTCTCATTACTTCCAAGATCAATGCTGTCACTAATATTGCCTTCAACAGAAGCTAGCACATCAAGGTTCATTTTCAGTTTGTGTACTTGTTTGAAGAATGCCTCGCGTTCAGAACTGTTGAATCTGGATTTAGCAAAGTCGATAAATGTTCCTTTAGCTAAACTGGGTTGACAATGGCTCTGTGTGTACACTTGAGTGACAACTAATTTGTTTTTCAATGAAAACAATATGATGGCCAATTCTTGCATCATGTGGTACAGGCTGTTTACCATCTTGGTAAGGGTGACTGAGGTCGCTTCTCTAAGGCTGCTTTGTTGTGTTCTCTTTTGGGAAGACATCATGGTCTACTGTAGGCTGTTGATGATCTGCTGCTGTAAAGACAAAATCATTTACATTATTAAATCATCATCAGTATCAGCAGCAGCAGCAGCAGCAGCAGCAGCAACAGCATGGCACTGAATGAATTCAAAAGCAATATGAATTTAGAATTGATATTCAACAATAAGCTGTACTGGTTTTTTTAAATTTCAGGTTATTTTTCTTTCATGTTTTATATTGTTTGGTCTGTTTTTAAAATTTTAAGTAAATTTACCTTTCAAATCCTTCCTGTTACGCTTCTTCAGTACATGACTTCTGAAACCTGATTGAGACTTGTAGGTCTTGACACATAAAGGACACTTGAACAATGGGCCGGTCTGTTCACTGTCACAGATATGTCTTGTATTAGCCGCAACTTCTGCAACCACGTCTTCAACATCCTCTTTGTCTGATGAACCAAGGTCGCTCCTGAAATCGCCCCAAAAGTCTGCTAACTCCAAATCTTCCCAATCAATTAAATCAGTTCTTTGCCATAACGTTACGTTCATGTCAAATTTTGTAAAATATATAGTAAAACATAAATGAACTTACCTTCTCAACTCATGCTAACTGCGTAAAAACACCTCAAATCCTCTCGTTAATCCACACATAGATCAGTCGGTGACAGGAAGTTTAATCAGCTTGTTGTGACAACATTCAAGGGAGCCTACTCCAATTTACCGAGTATTATTCCGATAGTTTCCGACTGATATAATAAACTGGCTGAAGTACTATTAAACACAACTAATTAGGCACACACTAATTTGTACAAATGGTAGAGAAAGCAAGCGAGTGACATACGGGGTGTTCTCTTTTTGCCGGCACGTATTGTTGAGGGATTAAAATTACTGGACTGTACTAATCCTTCCAACAATGGGGATTAAAGCTATAGCAGAAATGCAAGTATGCCAGCACTTGTATCACAAGTGTGCCGGCACATATACGAATATGAGTCATTTGAAAATATGGTGACATTTTACAATATTCCATGTACTATCAGCAAATACATAAATAAGCGTTAGAAAAAAATATTTATGTGCAAAAATATTCAAATATACAAAATTATTAAAATCTAAATATTTTAGGTATTTAGATACTTACCTTACCATAGGTCTTATGCATATTACCTCAAGCTCCGCTTAAAAGAGATCAGACAGTCGTTGATTCTCCATTCTCTAGAATGGCTGCCTCAAGTATCGACGAGTGTACAGGAACGGAAGTGACATGATATCCCCTCTCCGCGCAAGCGCGGCCTATCCAAAAATCACTTTTACTGACCAGGGCCTCCTTTCACGAAGCACTAAGGTGATCGTAAGACACTAAGGTAACCTTAGTGCAATGTTAAAGAATGGGAGTTAAGGTTAACCTTAGTAAAGGTTGCTTGGTGAAAGTAGCCCCAGGTCCCAAGAGCCTGGAGAGGGGAGGAGCATCCAGCGTTAGGAGGGAGTTAGCGCCCTATGGTAAGGTAAGTATTTAAATATCTAAAATATTTAGATATTAATAAATTTTTAACTTACCTTACCATAGGTCTTATGCATATGGATTCGACAGTAGGACGGCGGTGTCGGGCTCCAGACCGTCCCATGAAGAAAAAACAAGACCACATTCCAAGGGAAACCAAGGAAAACTAACTGAATCAGCAGACTGTCGCAGGAAGTGCAAGGAACAAGAAACAGTAACCCAAGGAAACCCTAAGGAAAACAAATACACCCAGGGCGTAAGTTATCCTTAGGACCAGAAGGTAAGGAGAAGTAGTTACCTAATGGGCGGTAGGACGGGCGAGTTGCTTGGCAACCACCAGTGGACCAAAGGATTGCAGACCTTCCACATCCTCAACGGCCAAATCCTGCAGGTAGTGGCTAGCGAAGACAGTAGAGGAATCCTCCAGCGATCCTGAGGAATCCACAAGGTCGCAGTGAGTCGGGAACAAGCCTCCTATGAACGACAGTTCCTGGGATGGCTCCAGGTGGGACTTGTCTCTGTTGATAACCCACCCCAGTTGCTCCAGGAGACAAATTAGTAAGCTCTGTGTGCTCCTTATAAACCTCCGGAATCCGGTCATCAAAGAGGAAGCGAGACGCAAAAGGGGCTCTCAACAGCTTTCTTTTGAACTCTTCCTGCCAAGGGCAAGGCTCGAGGAACCCCGTCCGCCGAACAACAGTCGTCATGGCCAACGCCGTCTGGAGGTGTGCCAATAAATCATGTAACACCTTACCCTGCCATTGGAACATGGTGGTAAGGTGTTCTGTCCTCGACGCGTTGTCTTCAGTCAAGTTCCAAGCTGCAGCCGAAGTTGCAGAGGCAAACGCCGAAACAAGCTTCAACATCCTCTTGAGCTCTGCATCAATAGCCAACATCTTAGAGTCCTGCACTCAGTAAGAAGACTGTGGTGAACCCGATAAACGTTTGAGGGATTCATCATGAGCTGCGCCTCCATCAGCGAAATCCAAGCTATGTATTTTGTAGTCCCCTTTGCGCGACTTAGGAGCCTTAATAGTAGTATTGAGAGACAGTTTAGCAGAGTTGGCATCCAAGGAGGCCACAGCATCAGCCACCATCGGGTGAGGGGAGGAGTAACTTGGGAGAAGACCTAATAGCTCTCGGGTCATCAGAGCCTGAAGAGGGAGAAGGACAATCCGGCAGTCTGTCGACAATTCAGTCAAACACAGCAGACAGGGGGAGGTAAGTACCCCCATCATCTTCTTCTTGTAACATCTCCTCGTTATAATCGGGAGAAAAATAGCGCTCCTCAGAGTCCTTCCAGGACATGGCAGTAGCATTATACCGTTGGTCAGAAGCAGCAGGCGTCGGGCGCTCAGATGACAGCTGAGAAACAGCACTAAAGGTAACTGTAGGGGAACGTGGTCGTCGTGGCGAGCGGCAAAAAGGAGGCACCTAGAACGGGTTTGACGGTAGCGCCACCCACGAGTCGGTGACCTTGAACGCCTTTCCCTATCATATGAACGTCTGGGAAGGCGAGACCTGGTGTCAGACCGACAATGGCGATGATTAGTATCAGAACGACGGGAGTGCTCAGCTTTCTGGCGTCGGGAACACTCTTCCAATAACTGAATGCTGTAAATCCTCCTCTCGAGACGACGTAGACACAGGTGCCTTCTTGGGGATATGTTAGTCTGACAACAGCGTCGGCGTCGGGGGAGGCGCTGGTTGAGGCAACAATCCAGCAACATCAGAGCTAGGTACCACCGCTGTCGGCGCTGGAACTGCACTAGGCAACGCAGAAGTCGGCGCTGGGACAGCGCTAGGTAACGAGGGTGTCAGCGCTGGAACGGTGCTAGCTTGGGCTTCAACTGCTGCAGGCAAGAGGAGCGTCCTTAGAAGCTTCTGCACCTCCGGATGAGATAAGTCAACGAAGGCGTCAGACGGGCGCTGGGCATCAGGCGTCAGCCTCGCGGTGCAGGTGTAGACGTCTGTTCTGCTAAAGGAGAGGAGCGTCCGTGGAAGAGAAGATCGGGACCCCAAAGAAGAAGCAGGTGAAGACATCTTCCTCTTACGTTGCGACAACCGTTTCTTCTTGGCAGCGGTATAAGCCTTAAAATCGGCGATGGACAATGGAGTAAAAAAATGACAACTCTCAGCAAGTGAACAGGCAACTGTAGCACAATCTGTTCACCAAGGTGGGGATCCTTGGCAGACTTCTGCACCTTGCAGATATAATACGTAAACACACAGAAACCCCCCCCTGCTGAGAAAATGGAAACACCCCTGCAGCAAGAATGGGCATGCCCAAGCAGGCGGAACAGTAAAGTAAACAACCAAGATTGCTGTCCCCACTGAGCCGAGAAGAGCGTGAAACAAGCACAAATTAGGCAATAATATCAAGATACACAAACCCAAGCATGAACATTATGGTGAAAGATACATCAAACATGCCAAGTGGAGCGACATTCGCGACGTGGGAACACACCCCACACCGAAGTGAGACACGAGGCAGCCAGGTAAGTGAAGTTTACTTTATGTTCTTCACCCACACAGAGAAGAATATAGGATATAAAAAGCATACATACCAAAAACAAACAAGAACTTTAATATCTGAAAGTATCAGTAAGTAGCAAACTAGCGAAATCAAAAAACGTCTGACACGCAGTATGCTTGAAGTAAAAGTGCTTTTTGGATAGACCGCGCTTGCGAAGCAGGAGGGGAGATCACGTCACTTGCATTCCTGTGCACTCGTCGATACTTGAGGCAGCCATTCTACAGAATGGCAAATCAACGACTGTCTGATCTCTTTTAAGCGGAGCTTGAGGTCATGTGCATAAGACCTATGGTAAGGTAAGTTAAAAATATGAATTACCTGACATATATCATGAAATTTTAAATCAGCAAATACTTAAATAGGCGTTAAATGGCACACCAGAAATAAATATTTATGTGCATTGTGCATTATACATAAATACATTCACAATCCCACCAGATAGGAAAAGGCATCACCATAAACAAGTGGTGAGATGGTGCCAGTTCAAGAGTCTTTGTTTCTCATGGCCAATTCTTTTTTCAAGGTTCCGGTATTTCGTTGGTTTCATCTCAGGGAACCACCAGCCTCCAGCTGAAGAATCGTCACTGTAGCACTGTTCTGCCTTGATGATGTTGGTGAGTTTTGAATGCCACCCTTCCACATGATTGGTGGTTCTGGGGCCGACGGTACTGAAGTAGTACCACATCAGTCTCTCTCCTCCCTCGATCCAAAACTCGGTGACATAATCGGCAAAACCTGAAACACCAGGCATGTCCATGTCCACATTTTCTAGAGCATTCAGCCAAAAGTCATCCATGTCACACATTCGTATGAGGGGAAGGGCTGCAGCACACCGCACAAACTGCTTCACGTCAGAGTTGTTGTGGTGGGCTGTCTGGAGTCCATAACGTTGAGCACCCTTCCACATAGCTTGTCTGAAATGGAACATACAACCTTTCAACTGGCATCGAAAGGTTGTCCGTGCAGCATTGTGAGCAGCTACCGCAAAGTCCATGAATATTTCTGCTGGTTGGAGTTGGATGTTAAGCAAATGGGCTTTCTCTATGATGACCTCGAACAATCTGTTGTATGTTGTCTGTCTTCTGTCAGGGAGAAGGGCTTACACCAGTGGAAACATTTTGCCGTGGACAAAGGCATGTATTGTATAAATCTGCTAGAACAGATCTGGACACGTGCTGAATGTACCATTACAGTCACATCACCTTCAAGTGTGATTAATGACATACTCAAGAATAGTGGACAAATATCTGGAAACGAATGAGTCAGCAAAAATTCAAGGGACGTAACTCATGCTAGATTTACATCACTTCAGCCGCTTTAGCCAAATATTTTATGGGTTCTTTTTCAAAGTTCAGTTGCTCACTCGGTGGACTAATAACAAAAATGAAACATGAGATATATTTATTTCACAGACATTTCATCAAACTTAAAAATAGTGACATAAAATAAGTGTACAGCCAATCCCCATGGAAGAAAAACAATGATTCCTTCAAATACATCCTGCGTGTTCAGTTAATTGTTGAACAAAGTTGGCGCCAATTACATATTCTTTACCATTTTCAACGAAGCATCTCGTTTCGTTGCCTTTGTTTTGTATCCCTTGGACTCTAAGTAGTCCCTCAATTCAGGCACACTGGCCTGATTGACACCAAGCGGAGGCAAAGCTACGTTTTCCATTTCGTCCCTTATGGCCTGTCGTTTTGATTTTCTCATTGCAGACAAATCCTCTTCCCAAAATTGTAGTTTTGGCTTTGTGTAAGGCCTGTTCTCTCTTAGCATGGTGTTGATTCCCTACCATACGTTGTCTTGTCATCAGGGCGTCAGTTGCTGCATCCCATTTGTTGGATTTTCTTTGATGAATGCTTTGATTTCATCATTCATATTTTCAATGCCCTGGCAACTAAACTGAGGTCCAAATTTGGCATACATGACAGGCGCATGGTAAACGAGGCAATGAATATAAGGTGTTACATTGGCTTTGCCATATCCCATCTCCTTTTCCCCCCAAAGACAAGAACAGGTTTAGCCATGCCTTAGCTTTGTTGAAAATGGCTTCCCCAGTTACCCCTTCCCCACCATAGACAAGATCATGAAACACCTCTCGGAAACCGGTCCAAATTGAAGTGATAGTTTCAACCGTTGGAGTGGATAAAACACCCTCAAGTTTTTGCGGCAGTTCATTCAAGACCTTTCTCTTGTCTATTCCTGATAAACTCGTCCAGTTCAGATTTCCATTACTGTTTTTTTTCTTTCCAAACCGAAAACACAACCCCACATTCCCGAAAGACTTGGATAAGTTTATCAGTGTACTTTGTACAGCCTTTCCCTTTTGTCTGGGACTGATCTAAATTGCGTGCTCGATTTATCATATTGATTTCCAAGACATCAGTGATGTGAAGTAGCATATGCAATTTATCTATTACAAAATTGCCGATTTCAATGTCCAACAAAGGCAAATGTTTGGCAACAAATGTTAGGTTAGGGGCACAAACTCTTAAATCGGACAAAGATCGTGCAGTGGTGGGGCACTCATGAAAGTGATTCCATGCATACATCGGGTAATTGTAATTTGTAATTGTAATTGAATGTAATTAAGTACAAAAATCTATGTAATTGCATGTAATTTGTAATTGAATGTTCAGAATGTAATTTGTAATTTGATTAATTAATATCTCAATGTAATTGAATTTTTCAATTACTTTTTCAATTACATCAAATTACATCTCACTTTTTTTATTTTGGTGGTCATCAGGCAACCCATGCAATTATATTCTGTACAATAAGGAGGACAAAGCAGTTTTTTTTCAATTAGATGCTTGTCAGTATATACTCTAGCAAGTGTTAAGTTTTGAAGAGATGTGAATGACTAAGCCTTTGTAACTCTCACCATCTGCACATTTGTGAAACAAAGTGAATCAGTAACGCATGACTGAATGTAGGTTAGTATTTGAGGAAATGGATTAACTATACTATTAGTCAAGTTCCTATCAAAATGGCCTCTTTGTTTATTTCTCATAGGATATACAACAAGTGACGATAGAGGTGTGTCTAAAAGAAATATGCAAGAGAAAAACCTGATCAAATAGTATTTAAGATATTGGCAAATATTAAAAACACAATGAGTGGTTGTGCTGCAACAGAAAGGAAATTTCACGAATTACTCGAGTCATATGGACTTGAACTGTTTTTGCACATTGTAGAAGTATGGGATGAAATGTCGGATGAAGAGAGAAGTGCATGTTCACGAATGAATAATTTCTTTAGTGGACTGCATTTGTTTGTTGGATGTGAAGATGTGTCCGCATTAGCCATCAAGAAATTTGAACTGCATTCCTCAGACCAACCATCCAGAACAAGGTACTAGCCAAGAGGAAGATGCCAACCCCGAATATTTGAAATCAGAAAGTGGCACTGTAAGGCTTATCCAATGTATGAGCAAAGCGTTTGGAAGAGGTGCGGATGTAGAAAGTGGAGTCCATGGATCATGGAAGACTTATGTCAAAGTGAAAATGAGAAAGTGTTGTGTTTCCCTTTTGAGCACAATCGATTTAATGTTGTTTTTGCTTGGGGAGTTGTTTGTTACCATCAGCAAAGAATTATCAGTTTCCTTGAAAATGTCCTTGGAGTTACCAACAGGCTAATGCAACAGATCGTAAGTGATGTCAAGATTGAAGTCTGGTCTTGCAGGATGTCATGCATTTGGTCTCATATCAAAACAGATAACGGCTCCACTTTGGCGAAGTCTACACATCCTCAAAATAAACAAGCAATATTTCGATCTCTGCACATTCCGTGAGAATGTGAAAAGTGACAATACATTAGTGGACTTTGTGACTGGAAAGAAAACCCCATTTGAAACAACAGTTGCAGATGACAACATCCACAGGGAACTTAATACACCCATGTGATGGGGATCGTCTTACATCGTACATGTTGTACAGGTTGTGTGTGAAAGCATACTTACTCTGCTTACACGTCAGCTTGCTGATCAACTTCCAAAGAGGCAAGTATATATGCTTCTTTCACTGATGACCTTAAGTCAGAGACCTCTTCATTAAAGAAGCACAACAAATTTCCTGAAATCTTCCTTGATGATTCTAGAAAACACAGCAAAACCATCTGCTTACCTTTCAAGAAAAGACTGTAAGATACCAAAAGAGGAGCTTCACGCGCCATTTGATTGGCTGACAAAGTCTCGCGCATGCGTACACGGTATGTTAAATATACCATTACACAGCTCATGCGAGCAGAAGCCGACATAATTGTATTCTCGAACATGTAACTTTCCGATTTCTTAGATGGTATGGTCACCGATAACAGCTTTATTTTCCAGACGAGGGCGGGACACCATCGGATTTGCGCGCACGAGTATTCGAGCATCGTTTGATGACGCTTTATTTATCATGGCGAGGAATGAACACAAAAGCTATGTTCAGTTATATCTTTATATATATTATGAGCACTGTCATACAAATATATACAAACCACACACACACACACACGAATATAGAAATATATAACCATGAAAGAAACCACACGCAATAAATAAATATAGGTATTAGAAATAAACACATCATATGTACACACTCATATGTACATTTACAACTGGAAACATACACACGCACGCACGCATATCACTGGCAACAGAACCATGAGACCACTCACACAGAAGAAACGCGACAGGTCTTCAGGGCAGGTCCCTGAACTCCGCATAGAAACGGGACCCTGATATCCTAGTTTGGAGTGCCGCCAACACTGTAATGATGTCTTCTGTATTGATTGCACCTGTGTCTTCCTTGTCAGGGAAATGCCAGGATCCCCTCGTCTTACTTGGATGAAGATACTTCACATTTAACGGTTCTCTCTGCGTCACCTGGCTAAGAAAATTAATAGGTGCATTTAGACCATGAGGTTTTTAGCTGTGTAGAACACAAACGCAACAGTGAAATTCAATCCCTTATGTTGATATTTGTCATCACGTTTTAACAGTTTAGAACCTAGTGACGGTCAAACATAACCAACCTCAGCAACAAATGGCACCGTCCGGTTTGATGAGGTAGGAACGGCCACATACACACATGTCCCTGCTTGTAGACTGAGAACACTGAAACATATATCAAATTTGTAACACATCAACAGTAATTTAGGTGAAAAGTTAATAAATAAGAATAATGGTTCCTTGACAGTAATTTAAGACATCGTTGAATGGGTTGAAAAAACAAACAATTCAGTATACTGGTCATAAACACAGCCCTATATTTATGGAACATTTTGCGCCTGGTGAATACCTCGTGGTTAATCGGTTCTCTTGCGGTGCAGTTCCCTGGTGTGGACCCTTTTTTCTGGTTGTCATGGTGGCTGCACGCTTCGTGGCTGTTCCTCTTCCTCTTCCTCTTCCAGGGTATTTGCGGCGTGAGTTACTACAATGAAAAAGAGATGACATTCGTACCTGGCTATGTACATTCCGCAGACTAGGGCGCACTAGATACCAAATTAGTTTTGAATGTAACAAATAAACCAATTTATATTGAAAAGGAGCCCAAGGCAGACCAGAGATTCAGACCTGAACCTGGGGAAATCTAGACTTGCTCCATTTAGGGCTTTAGCACTGCAGGGAGGGCTAGGCAGTAGGGACTGTGAGACATACTATTACCAACCTTGTCTGGCTCTTTTATGTGATGTTGCTTGGTCACTGCAACCTTCAGGCTCGACGTTGGCGTTTTGGGTAGGTGGCTCCATTTGCTCTGGTATTAGTCTGAAAGTAAAATTATGGAAGAGTACCCGGCAAACATAATCTTTTATCTGTGTTTCAGTTCAGACATATCAAAATCACTTACTGTCGCCTGACGTTCTGATAGAGATCAGACAACTCTGTGTCCGGGTATCCTGCGGTGCTCCCCTCTGGTGTGCTCACTTCTATGCATGGCGGTTCAAAACAGTCGACCACGTCATTCTGTGTGTCCTTGGTGTAACTCACTCCACGAGGCTTTACGTCGGTCAAGGGTTCACCGTTCTTGAAATGGTCGAGAAGCGACCCGGTGCCGGTGAACTTGATCCCTCCCTCGAACGACAACACCACCAGAAACTCCATCGTCGGCACCTCCTTCGACAACTTCTCAGCTTGTTGCACCATGCCCCTCATTGTCTGCCATTTCCGTTGCTTCAGTGCGTTCTTGGCGTTCTTCTCCATCCGTGTTTCATCTTCAACAACCACCTTCATACCCGGCTTGGCACGTGCATGTTCCATCCTGATCTAAAGAGGGAGAAGATGTGATATGATGAGTTGTTTGCAACATGTTCTGACCATGAAAACCAGTTAAAATCAGAACAGGGAATATTTACTTACATGTGAACAAAATAGCAGGGCAGTACATGTTAAAATCGGGACAGGCTAAAATCATGGAATATTTACATGTGAACAAAATAGCAGGGCGGTACATTTTAAAATCGGGACAGGCTAAAATCATGGAATATTTACAATGAACACAATAGACATGTTTAAAATTGCTGAACTATTTACATAGTATTGTTGTTATTTACATAGTTGTACAAACAAGAGACAAGGGACAATCAGATGTATTTATTTATTGAAAACAAAACAAAGCATTCAATCTTGCAATAAAACCTTTATTTCATTGTAAAGAGAAATGTACGACTTTTTTTTACCCCTGGCCTTGAATTTTATGGTGAAGGCCTCGCGATCTGCCTGGGACAGCCGAGGCAGCCATCGCGTAATTTCTCTCTGAAGGTCCCTTATCGTTAATGATTCCGGGCCTGAGTTGAGGGATCTTTCCTCAGCTGTGATGAAGCCAGCCTGTCTCAGCTGAGGGAGAATATCTTCATATTCTCCCAGAACCTTCACCTTGATGAAATATTGACGCCTCAGGTTGGCATCTTTAGTAAAGTCTACCAGGCAGGGATCGGGGCGCATCCAGTTATACTGGCATGCACATCAGTGCCCTCGATGTACCTGGTTTGCCTGAGGCGTAGGCGCCAAGACGCAATGGCGTCCTCTAGGTTGAGCGGTCTCAGCCTAGTACCAGGCTTCGATATGCCAAGCTCTAAGAGTGTCTTTTGCCGAATTTCTGTCAACACCAACTCGTTTCGCCAGGCCGAGAGCCAAATTTCATCACTTGGGAATCCCTTCAGAATGACATCTTTTACACGCTTGTTTTTCTTCCAGCACAAAATCAAAACACTCCCTAGAGATGGATGGCCACTGGTCGTGATTGAAACATACCTATCGAAAAGATCTTGTACTTCAGGGGGCATAACCATGTACTGAAATTCATCGAATACCTCGATGTCCCTATATTTTGGGTGATTCCTACCGTGAAATAATTCCTTAGTAATGTATTTTGCACTGTGGAGGAGAGGGGAGTGATTCCTACGTACGGCCATCCTGAAATTAATGATCCCCTGGGAATACCTAAAAACCTGTTCCAAAAGATACCTAGCATTTGGGGAAGTGTAATTCGATTTGGCATAAATCAAGAACCCTCGGCCGAATGGGGTGCTGGCTGAGACGCGACATATGGCGCGGATGAGCTCAGGAAGAGTGCCCAGATGAAATGCAAGTAACAGCGCCCAACTCTTGTGGTGATCGCTTGCGTTTTTCGCTGACCTTTTGGCCGCGTCAGTCTGGAAGCCCATGGCATGACTATAGTACTCTAGAAAGGGTGTCCAGTTGAGTTCGAAAAAGCTTTAATCAGATTAATTTCATAATGCCCAGACCCGATTTTCAGATACACCCAATCAAATTCGAATTCCGAAACTGCATCGACACAGTGGTTTTTGTGAGATTCAAATGATTTTTGGTTTGAAAAGGTTTCATCACAGGCCTGGCAGATACGTGCTTCTTCCTTCAATTTCTTAATGATTGAATAAGGCAATCCGTCACAACAAACGACAGTCCAATGTCGTGTGCTACCTCCATATCGCATCAGGTTGTTTTCCCTCCCTATCTGGCGCAACACCTCCTTGACTGTATCTGAACTATTCGGGTTAACATACAACGGATCAGTGAGAACAATGTCATGTTTCCCGTCGTGGCCTGATGGGACGTGGAAGGATTGAAGAATCCGAAAATTTTAGAGAAAATTCCGTGGCGACAGGCCCTTTATCTTGATGGTTTGAAGGGGCCCTAGCGTTTCTTGCCGTTTCCTTTCCCCTCCGTAGCCCTTCTCTATCGCTGCACCCAACCCATTTCTGTTGTTTTTTTAAGAATTAGAAACCCCACATGATTCACAAACAACATCCTTCTTTGACAACCTACCCAACGCTACATCTATGAAATCCCCATCGCCACTACCTGTGCTTTCCTGTGTCACTACTTTAATGGCTTTGTCAATAAACATATGGAGTTTTTGATCGTGCAACTCGGGTGTGATGCCGAGCCAGACTCGCATATGCGTTTTGGCGGCAGGGGCTTTAAATGTTCTTCACTTTGGACAGGGCATCTATTAAAACAGCCCTTGTTAATAATCACGGATATGGGAGTGGCTTGGTTCGGAGCGATCCTGTTTTTTGTCCGATAACCTGCTCGTCAAATACATTAACGAGACCATCGGGCACCAGATGGACCCCCATGGCCCATCACATCCACTGCAAGGCGACTGCCTGTTACCATATAAATGGTAAGATTTTGCAAGAAGGAAGGGAGATCAAATTGGGGACATAAAGTTTATATATTTGTTCCACTGCCCTTGCTGTTAGAAATAAATTTGTTTTGTTTGCTTCCATCGCGGTTTCTAAAAGTGATTCCTATCTTCTATCCATTTCCGGGTGTTTAAATTTGCCCCAAAATCCCTATCTTTATACTGATTGGCAAAGGACCTAGCATCATTCTCAATGCCTTTCTTCATACATGCCCCCAAACACCTGGCAATCTGACTCCTGTCCTCAGGGGAAATACTCCTGACAAGACCGTCGTAAAAGTGATGACGTGTTTGTTCGTCAAGGCTCAAAATATCCTCAAGTAGTGATTGGATATCAGGAGGTGGAGACGTTTTTGCTGGATGACCCTGCTTGACTATGCAGACTGGACATTCTGCGAAGGCGCTGTGCGGATGAAATTGAACAGGTTTAACTGTAGTCCGATAAGGCTTTGTTGCCTGCGATGTCCTTGAGAAAAGGAGTTTATGCGCCTTGCATAACAGATTGGGGTGGGTATCAGGACTGTCACTATTCGGTTTGTCCCGAAATAACATGGTTGGGACATGAATGGCGGTTACCCTGCTGTCTAACGCTGCAGGCACAGGTTGATCACATGGTGTGACTCGATTTGCTGTCTGACACAAGTAAGTGGTGGTTATAATTTTCTTTTAAAAAGGGTTTCCTCGCAGTACAAGCATTTTGATTTATGTCCTGATATTTATTTTGTTGTATTAATATCATGTCAGTAGACCTGTTATAGTAAAATATACTGCCCCAATGTGAGAATACGACAACACATGCGGCAATCAGCAGTTTTACTGCAACCAAATGCTGCAACTTTGCCACACATGTGGAGTATTGGGATGTGGTGTTTTAGTGGCAATTGAAAACAAAAGAAAAGCATAAACAGGTGCCGCAAATCTACCACAAAAATGCTGCAGATTTTCCGCAGAAATAATGCATGTGTTTGATGTTGAAAGTCTGTGAGTGATTGCTGCAGAAATGCTGCATGAATTAACGCTGATTTGCCGCAAGGGTTAACCACAGAAATGCAAGTTTACCGCATGTGTTCACAGTAGAAAATCCGCGAGTGATTGTCACAGAAATGCTGCCATCTTACCATATTACACTGTAAACCAAATAAGTTTGTCAAAAACAACAGGTTACATAAAACATTTCATGTTGCAACCTGAATACAATCGTTAAAGGTCACTCCCCGACATTGAAGGAAACTGCCTATGGGTTTGGTCACCCAAGTAAAAAGCCACGTGGCTGTAGAAATTCCAAATGGAAGGACTTTCCTTTGGAAGTGATGACCCACGAAGGTGAACCTCAGGTACTTCAGATGATCTGGGTGAATCGGAATGTGAAGGTGTGGGTCTTGAAGGTCGAGGGATATGATGAAATCCCCTTTCTTCAGGATTGAACGAAGAAGATTGACAGATGCCATTCGAAAGTGAGGTGGCGGTTAAAGAAAACGAGCGTTGAACACCTTCATGTTGAATATGAGATGCAACTTGTTTGAGTTTTTCTTTGGTACAAGAAAAATTGGAGTAAAACCCTGGAGTTATGCACCCCGGATCGAGGGGTTCTATCTACCGCATGTTTCTCAACATTGTGGACGAAAGGACTGCACACTGATCCTGAGGATACGTTCGTTGCAGAGGTTGAATGGTGTTTCCTGATAACCGGCATCCGATAGCCATGAATGAGTCATTGTGATGAACGGATAGTCTAGAAACTCCCAGTTAGGAGCAAACAGACTCTACTGGGGAATCGAACACCGGAACCAACGGCGCCGGAAGAAGCAATCCGTGCTCTGATTTCCGCGAGTCACTGTTTGGCGTTTTTACTTCCGGTTCCGGTGTTGGGTCTAAAGGGACGATGGGACGAGGAACCACAAACCCTGCCTCGAAGTTGAGAAAGGCGCCTTGTCTTTCAAACAGTCATGAAGGTCTGGATTAGAAGGGGTAAAGTGCGGAGTTCGACGTTGCCACATGAATCTTAAAGTTGAATTTTCTGCAACTCCAACAGATCTACAGACACTTCAAACTGATTGATGCGGTCCACTTTGGATGCCACCTCCGCAATAGACAAATGGAAAACCGTATCCCCCGACCACGGCTGGTGAACAGTTCAGCCTTCCCATGAGGACAAGTTCAAAGGGCCCCGACGCCGTATGGCAAGTAGATAACCAAAGGAATGAGAAAGTTTCCCAAAGACCACCTGAAATTGATCCAATATCGAAGCCATACTTCCCCTAATGTACGCATCCTGATCCGTATAGGCATGATTGTCAGCCGTCGCCACAGCGTCCACAGCCGAAATAATACAACTAATGGAAGGGATGGAATGCCAAATCGCAACATCTAGATGAGCCAATTCCTTTTCTTCCACAACGGTGAACTGGAACGCTTGCCACCATTTAAATGTCATCATCAACTAAGGGTGCCGCTGACCACAGATCAATACCATGAGTATGTGCCGCCATCGGTTGGAAGCTCGGGGCTGACAAACCATCCTTCACCCTCTTAAGCTCCTTAGAGGAGAATACGAACGAAAACAAAACTTTTGATATATTGTAAAGGATATTCTAAAAGCCACCTTCCGTGATTAAAACTGAACAAAAAGTTTGTAAAATAGCAATAAAAACAAAAATGTACTCATATTTCCGCCTATGATGGAAACACCGGACAGTTAATGAGCAGAGGGGGTATCACGTGACATGACGTCATATGTGCCTGTTGCTGATGGCTTCCTCCTTGATTTTTACCTCACAAATTAAGTGTCCATTGAGATTTAAACATGTTTTAGAGGGAGAAGCACCAGATCCTCGCAGAAGCATTCCTGGCCCTGTCTGTCAAATGCCTGGCACAAGCACGTTTATAGAATAGAAGAATAGAATAGAATAATACTTTAATGCCTTTTCAGGAATTTGTGTTGCATCAGCAGAGCTATTGACTAATCAGAGAGATACAAAACATATTTACACAAATTCATTGATTTAGGTATCTAGATTTAGGTATAAGCTTTGAAATCACCATTTGATAGTCCTGAACACTTCGAACAATGTTTGTCCCAATCACAACAACCCACACAATCAAAACATGATGTGTGTGGGTCCCAAGCTGAAAAGGCTTTATTACTTTGAGCACAAAACTTTCGTTTCTTAGCCTGAACAGGCTTTTCCATGATGAGCAAATCTCAGACAAGACAAATTCACACGTCCACTCTGTCGAGCGACAAGAAAGAGAATGAGTATTCAAGGTGATCACGTGGGTGAGGACTGTGCATGCCACATGCTGCGTCACGGACTAAAGTGCTGTCGGAAATATAGAAAAAAAATGTCCACTTTGAAATTAAACTATGCTTCATTATAAACGATAGCTGACGTAAAAAAATACCTTTAATACTAAAACTATGAAGGATGTAGCTGCCATGGAGTCTCACTATCACTATAGGAGAGATATAAGCTGAGATACGATAATCCTTTAGGGGAATTAAAGTGGGAAGCAAACGGCATGTCATAACAATTTACAAATAATATCCAGTCCTGTCGATCTTCGGGTGGTCATGCCACCTCTATATTTTGAGACATTTAATATGATGGATGATTTAAGCTTTTCCATGGGTATCGTATCCTTTTACGTAAGTTTATGATCAATATATGAGACATATTAAATACACATGAAAAAGCATAACATATTTGAGATGACCCCTTGTGCATGTAGGCAGGACGTGCATTTCATGCCAGGTGAGTCGATGGTCCGTCGTCATACCTGGCTGAGCGATCTAATTGCTATGTATAGTCTGATCTCATTTCTGGTGTCCCCTGCCATGATGTTGCTGGAATATTGCTAAAAGCGGCGAAAAACCAAACTCAGTCAGTCAGTATAGTCTGATCTATTGTTTTGAGCAGCTATTCGTATTGCCCGATTTTACGAGTAAACATGCTTTTCTGGATTTACTATTATGCATCCCACTGAATGCCCAGTTAGGCCAATGTGGGTTATTTCGATATATGCTATTTGTCAATTTTAGGGATACAGAGTAACAGCCTAAAAGGTTTTATTCTATTTTCGACAGTACTTTAAAGGTCTTAGGCAGGAAGGCATGCACAGCTCGGGGACGGACAAGGTAGGCCTAGAGCAAAGTTGAATTCGTTTCCACTCATTGTCAAATGAAGAGAGAGAGGTGCAAGTCATGAGATAGGATAAGTTTAAATATAATTTTATTCCATTTTTCAAATTTTGTAATTGTAAAATATTTTTCAGCTGAAAAAATCAATTTAATATGCTTGTACTAGCCCAGACTGAAGCTGGTTTTCTAGTGCAAGCCCACTGAGATACCATACTCCAGTGAAGCATGAATTCCCCACTCGGGACACATTCTACTGACTCCGAGGCTTAGTCCTTGTATCCATTAATGCCGAGCGCCAGGCAGGGACGAACAACTACCATATTTTAACGTCTTTTGATATGACGCGGTCGGGGATTGAACCTGCGACCTTCCGCTCTCTGGGCGGACGCTCTAACCACTACACTACGGAGGTGGTTTCTACGCACTTTGGATACGGTGTCACATTATCTTCCCCACATCGGCAAGCCTCACCACCCGATCCCATTAGTCACCTTTTTACGACACGTCGACAGGTCTTGCGTGCCATCTCTTTGCCATCCTTCTCTGGTTAATGGCATTTGCAATTCTCACCTTAACTCCTGGTATAAGGGACTCGGGTGGGGTGTGTGGTTTGTCGATCTCATCCACAATCTGTTACGCTTGGCATTGTATAAGGTAGCTATAGATTTTCGTCATCGGAGCTTCTTACTTCGTCTACTACTTTCCTCTTAACCAGTTACATTGCTACTGGGCCTTTAGTTCAGATAATGTACCTTGGTTTCTATGCGCTGACTGCTCAGTGCTGCTTATATACCTGACCTGTCTTACTTCGTTTTGTTTGTCGTTATTGAACAATCAACATTTGTTGTCTTAATGGCAGTTCCAAACTGACGTTGACTCAAAAACATGTCCATGCCTCCTCCCTCATATGACACTAGAGAGTCATTATGACTCCTAATTTTTTATGCCTACGACAAACTCTGAGTCAGGGAGTTGTCGCTCTTGTCTCCGCTGGACAATCTGTTCCACTTGGCGTGGTACAAATGGATATATATTTTTTCTTCATCTGAGTCTATTACTCGTCTACTACTTAGGGTATTCACCCGTTCCCTTGGAATCTACCTGTGGCCACGGCTTCCAAACAACCCGGTACAGTTGTTTAAAGTACTCTGTATCACATACAAGAGTCTAAATGGCATAGCACCAGAATATCTAATAGTTTAAGTGACTTGCCCTTCAACCACCCAGACTACTGTGATCTGGAAGCAATTCTTATTGAATACTCCTTCTTACAGACTGCCTTGGCCTCTTATTGAGAGTGCTCTTTCAGTGGTTGCACGCCATCACTGTGGAATAGTCTGTTCCTTGCTATAAACTGTTTCCATGTTTTACTTGCGTTCAGATCACATCTTTCAACGCATCTCTTTCACTGTACTATAAACTCAAACCTCACTTTGTAGCACTTGAGCATCCACTTTGTGCTTGAATTTCGCGATATGTAAATTTTCAGTATTATTATTATGTTTTACAGATTAAAGATGAAAATGCAGCAGAGAGGGTTCGGGTGATCCTGGCACAGTCAGGCTGGTAAGGCTCATCATCAACTCAGGGCCCTTGCCCCCTCTACACGCAGCCCAGACAGCGAATGGGACTTCTCCCAGGAAACGCTGCCTAGTCGAACCCACCAAGAACTTTCCGGAGAATATGAAGGCTCCCCAACACTGCAGCCTTCTGCATTACCCAGAGTGTCAGAAGGGCTGTACTCCCGGTGGAGAACCCGGGCACTCTCTTCATCTGCGCCAAGAGATCAGGAGGTACCAAACCAAGGGCACCGAGAACAATGGGGAGCCTGACGACGGTGTACTTGGGATGCAAGCGAGACATTTCAAAGGCGAGGTCCGCATATTTATCATGCTTTTCCTTGATCTTGCCAATCACGTTTCTGTCAAAAGGGACAGAAAATTCTATGATATAAATAAATTCATTGGCTTTATCAAAAAAGGACAAGATCAGGTTTGTTGGCTGGAATTCTTCTGAGGCTGTATATGTTCAGGGTCGTACCATGGATGGACCTCGGAGTCAAAGCCACAGGCATGTCGGAGACGGTAGTAAAAGCAACGAGCCATGCTATCATGTGGTTTAAGATATGATGTTTGTGCCAAGGAAGGGCATCCACTGACAAGGTATTGGACAGTCTCCGTGAATTCGTTGCAAAGTCGACATTTCATATTGATATTTTCTTTAAGAATCACATTTAGGCGATTGCGAGTGGGAAGTGACTGGTCCTGAGCAGCAAAAAGAAAGCCCTCAGTTTCACATTTAAGACCAGCCGACTTCATCCAGGCGAAGGAGTCGGTGGGATTGCTATTCTGTTCAACACACTGCATGTACACACGATGCAATGGCTTCTCAGAAAGCTTCTCCACAAAAGACCGACTCTGGGCAGACTTGGTGAAGGTCTTCACCTGGTTTACTCCCATCACTGTACCGTCCAGCAGTACATCACCATCAGCAAAATCAACTTCAAATTTCAGATTCTGTCCAACAACCTTGGCACGCTTAAAATAGCTGTGGAATTCCTTGCTTTCATCATGAGTCTTGACATGCATCACCAGAGGATCATCCGATAAATAAATATGTGCAAAAGTACTCAATAAAATTCTATCATGAAGAGCCTCCACATTAATCAAACCCCGACCTCCAGAATTGATAAGGCATGTATAAACGGTTAAGAGAGGAACGAGGGTGGTGGGCTCTGTTATCAGACATGATCCTTCTGGTCAGACGGTCAAGACTCTGGATGTCTTGTTTTGTCCAATCAACTACTCCCAAGGAATAGGAAAGGACTGGCACAGCAAAAGTATTGGTGGCTTTGACCTTGTTTCGAGCATTTAGCTCTGAGCTCCAGATTTTCTTCAAACGAGATTTGTACTCGGCCCAAGTTTTTCTTGAATCTGGGCATTCTGGAGCTTGTCTCGAACTTGCATTCCAAGATAGGTGTAGGCCTGATCTTCCACAAGATGCTCAATAACTCCTCCCCCTTGTAACTTGACCGATCCATCATTAGTTACCTTACGACGTTTCAAATGAAGAGTATTACATTTGTCGAGTCCAAATGTCATGCCAATATCATTAGAAAAGGACTCGACAAGGAGAACCTGCTATTTCAAATTGGAATCTCATTTGGCAAGGAGCTTGATGTCATCCATGTAAAGGAGATGAGTAAGAGGTGTTGGGGATCTGTGCTGAGGAGGTCCGGGATGGTAACCCTCCTCTTTATTGAGCAGAAAGCTCAAAGGATTTAAGGACAGACAAAAAAGCAAAGGACTAAAGGAATCCCCTTGGAAAATCCCCCTTCTGATTGGAATAGATTCCAAAGTCTGCACCTGCCCTTGTGAGTACATCTCAAGTTGAGTCGACCAGCAACTCATTAAAGACTTGAGTAAATCAAGTAGTCGCTCAGGGAGGTCAATACAGTGAAGAGACTTCAGAATCCATTCCAGAGGAACAGAGTCGTATGCTTTCTTGTAGTCAATCCAGCACATGGAGAGGTTGCGGTGATATGTTTTAGCCTCTTCCAAAATCATTTTCTGTACAAGAAGTTGATCCTTGCACCCCCAACATCCCTTTCTCCTCTCTGTAAATTATATCATTGGAAGAGCAGTAAAATGACTCGAGGTTTGTCAAACACCCTGTGAATATTTTGTATTGTGTATTCAAACATGTGATAGGGCGGAAGTTTTTGGGATCAGTCAAGTTTCCTTTTTTGGGAAGGAGTATTGCGCGACCTTTGCAGAACCATGGAGAAAAATCACCTGTGTCCACAAGACAATTGAAACAGTGAAGTAATGGTGTTTGGACACAGTTTCGAATGCCATCAGGCCCTGGAGCTGTATTAGATTTGGACTTTTTGATGACACTTTTCAGGCAATCTGGTGAGATGTAACAGACAAACGACCTAGTTACTTTCTCGTGCATTGCATGGTCATAATCACGGACCCATGGTGCCTCCAGGTTACAGTTACCGGGTACAGACCACAACTGTTTCCAGAACCTTTCATTGGCATGCATGGGAGGCCGTTTATCATGCTCACCATCACCGTTTGTTTTGAGTTGCTTGTAGAAGTGTTTTTCATTATTTCTTAAAAAGTTTATTTTGTTTGATGAATTTATTTTTCTTTTCCCATTTTTTTTTTTCTTTCAGTCCAAATCTTTATTTTTGCCTTCAGGGAATCGACAATTTGGAGAAGTATCTTTTCTTTCGTTGTTTTGTATTTCAGTTTTAGTTTTCTCCAAATTGCCTTTTATCGTTTAGATATAGGATTCCCTGATGATCTTAACTTCAGGCAAAGCTCTATCCAGGAAATGTATTTTCTAGTTTCTGTTAGTTTCACTTGAAACCGGTTTTTCTTTGGTGTATTGTTCTTAGTATTGGCTGTGTTTTCTTTGGAAACTGTGTGAAGTTCCTCCAAGGTTCGAGCGGCAGCATAGACACAACAATTAACTTCATGTAATGAACAGTCCACAGAAAGTTTATTATTATTAGGTCTTCAGACAAAAGTCTGGAAGACCTACTGTTATTATCCGAATATTCTTCTTCTTATTATTATTATTTGTACAAATTTTGTGACAGCTCTCCTGACCTAACCGCTGAGTCGATGTTTGTGAAACCTTCAGGGATGATAGCCTGTGTGCTGAAATTGATACATAGTCGAAAAAATCCCGACTTCCGGCTTCCGGTAAGGGCAGACAACCCAAGATGTCGAAATCTTTACACCTGAATAACTCAAAAACTATAAGAGATAAATTGACCAAATCATTCCCCATCGATTCAACCCATAGCGGAAGTTTCGCGGCAGAATAAATTTTCCGCAATTTTGAAAAAACTGAAATTTTTGCCCGTTTCCTTGTTTTGACGGTGCCTGTCTTTAAAAACCTGTCTTCTCCAGAACGGCATATAGTACAATAAATCGATATATCATTTTAAAACCCACACTCCGGACTACTTAAATATTTCAAGGCATATGGATATCTTGAATAATTTAAGAGTTATCGCCCTTGGAAGTCAGTGAATTTTTTAAGACGCATTCACCTGTAGGTAATTGAATGGGAAACATTTTTGCTTCACATCATGGTTATGTAAAAATCAATAATAAAGTCACCATTACAACGCAAACACAGCCTTCGCGATTTTGCACATTTCCGCACTTTTTTTTACGGTGCCTGTGTTTAACAATCTTCTGCTCCTGAACAGCAAATAGTACAATAGTGTTCTATATATCGTTTTAAAGCCCACACTCCGGACTACTTAGCTTGCTCAAGGCATGTCGATATCTTGAATAGTGTGGGAGTTATTGCCCCTGGAAGTTGGTCAATTTTTGGCAAAATGCATTTTTATACGGGTCACAGCTCTGCGAAAACACAATGGATTTCCTTTTTGAAGACACCAAACTGTAGATAATGAAATGTGGAACATTTTTGCTTCACATTATAATTATGTAAAAGTCAATAGTTACGCCACAATTACGCCACGAACAGGGAGGGACATTAGGATTTTCGCATTTGGTCAGTTGTGAGAAAACTAACTGAAGGAAGCGGCGATTGTTGCTAGATTTTACTGTCGCTTCTTTCAGTTAGTTATCTCACCTCACAATGAAGTGACTGTAAAATCTAGCCACAATCGCCGCTTCCTGGGTTTCAAGTGCCCACAGAAATAGTTCCCTCTTTAACAGGCCGTAACTCCGTTGTTCTTAAGTCTACAGTCAAAACAATCAGTGTTTTTTTCTGCAGTTTGTGAATTTTCCGTTTGTGTCAGCAGCATTAGACACATAAGTTTATATTTGTTTCACAAATGCAACCTATACATATACGTCCATGGCTGTTTCACAAATGCAATATATACATATACGTCCATGGCTGTTTCACAAATGCAATATATACATATACGTCAATGGCTGTTTCACAAATTATATACATACATATACATATCGTCCATGGCTGTTTCACAAATGCAATATATATATACGTCCATGGCTGTTTCACAAATGCAATATATACATATACGTCCATGGCTGTTTCACAAATGCAATATATACATATAACGTCCATGGCTGTTTCACAAATGCAACATATACATATACGTTCATGGCTGTTTCACAAATGCAATATATACATATACGTTCATGGCTGTTTCACAAATGCAATATATAACATATCCACACATAAGATATACATATAAGTCCATGGCTGTTTCACAAATGCAACATATACACATAAGTCCATGGCTGTTTCACAAATGCAACATATACACATAAGTCCATGGCTGTTTCACACATGCAACATATACACGTAAGTCCATGGCTGTTTCACAAATGCAGTATATACATATACGCAGGGACCCGTGGTCAAATCATTTTAA